TCCAACATCTAAACCACTGGTTCTTAACCTTGGGTTACTCAGGTGTTTTTGGACTGCAACTCCCAGAAGCCTTCACCATCAGCTCTGCTGGCTGGGGTTTCTGGGAGTTGTAGTTCAAAAACACCTGAGTAACAAAGGTTAAGAACCACTGATCTAAACAATTCAGCTCCTCATGTTCATCACTTCAGTTTCTTCAGTTGTATCTCACCCTCCTATCCTTCCAGGATGCCCCTTTCTAAACCTTTGTGAAGACAACCACCACTACATCTGCAAGGGGTATGAAAACAATGTTCTTAAGACCATTTATTGCACTAAAACTAACTCGGGCAACTACCTGAGAAGGTGTGCAGATCACATGCCAAGCATTAGGGTGTAGGGTCTTATCATACCCACCTGCTACTTCTGTCTCCCCCTCTGTTTGGTGTATCCATGATGTTCACAGGCATCATTAGAACATTTTCTCAGTTTTTGGGGATATTGTTTTTGTTTTGTAGCTTTTACAATGTCTGTCTTGAAGGCCGCCAGGCTTACTGGTGTACATACAGAAGGATGCTGGGAGACTGGGCCAGCGCCAAAGGAAACAAATGCAGCACCATCAAGAGATTCAAAAACTTTTTCTACTCATACTAAGAACCTAAAGGAACTGTAGAAACTATTTACAAACTTGGGACTCTAACCTTTAAATCAGAAGCTGTATGGTCTCCTCTCCATAAATAAGAACATCTGTATCAGGTAACAAGACAGTAGAGATATTTATGTTTGAAAAGGTTATCTTGATAATGCAGCCCAAGAGATTAAAAACGGCAGCTTGGAGATACAGGAATCTCACAGCAGTAGTTCAAATAGGGGAAGGGATGAGTGAATCAGCAGTAGTATAGTGCTTTGAAGTCTGCTGCGAACATCAAGGTAAAAAGATTACGGGTTACAGCCCATATGAGAGAAAAATCAAAAGAATTACTTAGGTCAATCTTGTTCAAACATCAAGAAAAATCAACAATTCAACCATTGTGGATACTATCATGTACCATACATCAAAAACATTTTTAAAAAATCTTTATTAGTTTAGGTTTTGAAATGTTATCAGCAGGAGAATATTACCAAGATGGCTTCAGTTGTTTATTTTGTAAAGAAACAGAACTAAGCAGATGTGACACAGAAGAGCTATGACGCATAAGTAATTTCAGAGAATTTGAATTTTAAAAGTAATTGTTGGGGAGATTTTGGAGAAAGCAGCGGATTTGAGAGAGGTGATGTGGAAGGGAAATCTTTTCTTACAATCGTTGATCCCGACTGCAGCAACAAAGTACACACAAAGCAACACAAACAAATCTGCTCTACAGAACTGTTAACACTTTCTTGAGCATTTCAGAAATGGGGTCCTGGTTTGCAGGAGAAGAGGAACCAGCTGGAAATCACAAAGCTAACTTCAATTATCAGGTTGGATTTAGGTCTGGGTCTAAAACCCCATTTGAGAGAGATTAAAATCTTTCTCAAAAACAAAAAAAAGGGGGAAGAACAAAACAACAACTTTGATTTGCATTGAAGTGTGAGAGGAAGTGGGATTTGATCCAGAAAGCTGTCAGTGAAATAAAACTGTTAGTTTTGAAATAATGTTGTCAAGTCAATTATTGCTGATGGCAACCCCTTCCACGGATTCCTAGATACAGAAACTAAGAAGTGATTTACTATTCCTTTGGATGATTATCTAAGACTGTGCAGCTTGCCCAAGGCTATATAGTCTGGCTCCTCTCCCAGAAGGAACCGCGGGGAATCATACTCCCAGCCTCTGGCTCCACACACAGATGAGTTAAAGTACTGCATGTTTTTGTTTTTTCCTCTGTTTTTTCCCTTTCACCAAGGTACTGATAATGATGCAGATAGATTTACAATATAAGTTTTAGGGTTCTCTTTTCCTCCTTCTGCATCTACAACTTTTACTAGATTTTTGAAACTCTTCTACCACAAAAATGTTTAAAATATTAAAATAGAATTTTTGCTGCTTGGCTTCAATCCAGCTTTCTTTAATTAATGTTCTGCTACATCATGATTAAGGAACACAAACAGGTCTTTGCCTATACAGCAGACTATACATAGAAGAATTTCCTGTATTGAATTCTAAGTTAATAAGCAAGATTCCCATGGGACTTTAAAAATAGCAGCATTATAAACATAAACAGAATATAATACAAAAAGCAGGAGTAGGTAACTGTGGGCCTTTAGATTTATTTGAACGACAATTTCCAGAATCCCTCATCACAGTTTTTTCTGCCCAGGGCTGACTGGAACTGTAGGCCAGGTAACATATGGAGGGCCACAATTGCTCATCTCTGCAGTAAATAAACTATGATGATCAACAAGAAGATTTCAGTGGTACAAAGAGAGAGACTGTGCCTTTAAAATTTTTACAAGACCTAAAAAAGCAAGTTTCTACAATGGTTGGATGTTGCTGCATGGAAGAGGCAAAAGCAATATGGACTGTGGCTTTATTTCCTACATAAACATGTCTCCACTGAGTGGAGGGGGGCAGTCATGTAAATACCAGAGGTGCCTCTTGTCATTGAGTGTGACTGACATTTACAGCACACCAGCCCTGAGGCAAGCCATTGCACACTGTGTGCTACTCATATGTGCAGTTGTGGCACTATTAGGTTCCTCAGTGAAGTTATTGCTGCTGGAAAATAGCTGACAAATAGCTGACAAATCTTTTCCTCTGCCTCCAAACCCCACTCCCTAGAACAAACAGCTAAGAGAGGATTTATTTTATGTGGGAATGAGCATCTACAATTGTCCTTAGGGAATATGATATTTACAAGATCGACTCTGGGAAAAAGCATTTAAACTAGCTACAGGGAAAGAAGACAAAACAAAAACACACCCTGAAAATATTTCTTGCAATTCATGGGTATGCTATGAGTTTACACATTCTACTTTTTCCCAAGATTTCGAAGCAGTGTTTAATTACATCATAAGAATGGAGGGATTTTTTTTTGTCACTTGTGAACTATTAAGAGAAATAGTAATTTAACAGCTACACAGCACGGATTCGCTTTGTAACTACTGTACTGTAATACTGGCCAGTGGCCATAGCTGTCCGCCACTGACCTAAAGACTAGCACAGGAAAGCTTTCTAATTGTGGTACCTCACTACAGCAAACAATTGTCCTTAGGGAATACAATATACATTTATAAGAAGGTATGTATTACATTGTGTATGTGCATACCTGGCCAAAAATAACACTCCGTGTTAAATATACCTGGACGTGAAATTATGAGAAATTTGTCTATGGGACAGGGTTCTCCTTGTTATTGCACAGAGTCTCTTTCTTGCTCTTTCCAAGAAGACAAGTTAAAGCAGATGCCTGCATCAAAATTTTAGAAAAGGCTTGTAGGAAGATCACTTCCAAAGGCAACGTATTCTTTTGCAATAGGAGCAGAGAAGAAAACCAGGACCATCAGCAACCCTGCCGAGATGCCAGTTCCACCAGGCTTTATATCTCTTCGAAGTGCCATGCAGCAGCCATTCCATGTGGTTACAGAAGATGACAACAGGAGACAAAGACAATCTACTGGCTCAGCAGAGACCTCTGCTATATTTCGTTTCTACTATCATGAGCTGCTTCCATTCAGGCTGGTTGTGATAAGGCAGCCAACCATGCCCTGTTGCATTGCAACCATTTATAAACTGGTCATTATAAGAATGGTGTTAACATAAAAACACTCACCAACAGGTATAGCCAAAAGGTAGGTATAAAACTGATGGGCACAGCAGCATGTATGCAAATTGTACTCCGGACATCTCCCCATCTAGAAATCAATCATACTCTGGACAAGACTTGTGTGTTTGACTGAAAATGCTACCAGCATGTCTGTGATAAGGAGCCCTGCTTTATCACTGTCATAACAGTGAAAATTAGTCAGAAGTATAAATGTCACCTTCCCTCATGTCACTGGGCATTTTGGGTTGTTTACATTCCTTGCTTTTAGGGGTTTAAATCTTCTCTTTTGTTCAGCCTGGATGTTCCCATTAGCTCATCCATGTGTTGCACTAGTTTCCCAGATACACAAGTAAAAAGATGTCTGTAACTTATCCTGAGAAGTTAGGCCATGCTTGGAGTGGAGAGGGTGACTCATTCCTGCTCGTAGACCATACCTTATCACAGTTTCTAACATGAAAGGAAAGAGCTGACTCCTCACACTTGTTGACTGATCTTCTCCAAATGTCTAGTAACTTATGGAATTAAGACACTCCTAATATAAAAGCATTGGTATCTATTTGGCATTTGGGCCCAGGCAGCTGGACATCAAGGAGGAGATGCCTCAGCCAGGAAGGTAATCCAGCACCCTTTGCTACAAAGGCATGGGACATTGTTTTCATGACCTACTGCATCTTTTTCACCGTCCTTCTGTTCAATAAATTCTATGTCACACAAGTGCTGTGGTTCTTTCTCTGAACCTTTTATCTTGGAGCAAGGATCTAGCAGCCCAATTAAGTTTTCATGAAGTTGTATTGGGGGGAGGGGGGTGGCTTTCCTTTTTTCTCCCCATTGCTTTCTCTTTAGGTGTCACATCTCTTAGCGTGTAAGTGTGAAGCCACAAACTGTTTCAATTTTACTAACCACAGGCAAATCATTCTGTAGATCTTTCTGTTTCAAGCATGGGGTTCTTTAGATAGGCAGACTGATAGACAGATGGATAAGTAGATTTTTAAAAATGTCTTGACAATGGGCACATATTGAGGGGGGGGGAAATGGAACTGCTACAGACTCAGTACCTCTGATTTCCCAGTCACACATAGTGTAATTGGAAATCTCTGGAATGTGAAGTCTGTTCTAAATACATTTCTGTACCTTTCATACATTGCTGAAAATCAGCATACCACAAGCCCACATTTTGGAACTTCTGGCAAAACAAAAGTAACACCTGCCCTTTCATAAATGGCTTATGTTTGTTTCCTTCTTCAAAATGAATGTTGAGACACAAATAATGCACTAGTCAAGCTCTGCATCATGCGGTCACTTGTGGTGTTCCATCATTTTACTCTTTATTGCAAATTCTGTTTAAGAGCCATTCTTGGGATTCAACACCAAACCATATGATAAAACTAAATTTTCATGCAGACTAAGATTATTCCCTTCCCGTGCTATGAATCTTAGAAGGGCAAATCAATGTAAACCCAATCTCGCCTGCAAAAAAACAAACAGAAATGCCACCCAACAAAGAGTACATTATCATTTACAGTCAACAAACAATTCTTCAGAAGATTTTCAAACAACAGCAGAACAAAAATCACCCACAATCAGGTATAGATTTTGGAACACACAGTGCTAAATGGTATCAATGCATTTGTTAAAAGTGGAAGTTACCAAAACATTAATACACACAATCATTCGCTTGATTAGTTTTGTTTGCTCTTTCCCAAAAACATTTTGCAGTTGAGCATGTTATTTTTACTCTGCCCATTTGTGCCACACATTTTATCATTCCTCGCTATTTGCTGTTGTAGGAACTCACATAGAAGTTAAGGTTCGTCTGAGGTTTCTCTGTATAATAATTTTACTTCATTCAGTACAAAATGCTTATCTAGCACAAAGGCTCGCCATTTATGTAAGGCAAGATGGTTAGGAATATCATCCAGAAAAGCAGTACATAGGCACACAAACATATCAGTCATTAGACACCGTTGCTTCTATAGATAGTATTGACCTTGTTTTCCTGTTATTACACATAAAAGATGTATTTTAAAGAAGAAACCTAAATTTGGGATAATCTGGTTGATCATTCAGACATCTTAATTCAATATGTTTGCATGATTATAAAAGACCTGTTGTTAACATGAGAAGCAACACCTAGCTTTACACCTTTTGCTAATTATTATAGGAAACTCTTTTTTGCTTACATAGTATTCAACTCCTCCCTTATACGATGCACCCTGTGAGCAACCACAACCTACAGATGCCATTTGGTAAGGAAGATACATTTTCAAAACACATACTACACTGAAAGGGTTGGACACACATTATTATCCTCATTCTCACAACTGAGCCACCAGATCCATGCAGACAACAAGTAATCTCACTTTGTGCAGTGTACACATTGCCTTAAAAAACCAAGAAAAGTTTGCATTAGTGTTTGTTCCACATAGGAGCAGCTATTGGCCCCTGCGGAGACCTTTCCACAACCACAAACTCATCAGGGTTGCCAACTGCTTGATAGTGGATTAACAGATCCTGAATAGCCCGCTCTTCAATCTGAAATGAGAAGGGAGAAAAGGGAAGGAATCAAGCTTGGAAAGTCTAGAAGGAATTAGAGCAGACATGTCAGCACAGCACAGAATCGTGAAACCAACCAGAACTTTCTACCATACTAGAAAAGTGTACCCAAATCTCAACAAACTAGGAACACAGAACTGCATTTGAGCTTCTTAAGCGCAACCCCAGATTCCCAGACAACTCTGCAGTTAAGGAAGCAACACACAACTGCTTCTGTAGAACCACTGAGCATTCAGCTCTAACAGCTAGTCAAATGAAAAATAATGCCAGCTCAGTGTAATCTGATTACAAAAAAAAATACTGAATGTGTAGGCATATGAACAAACTTACTTGGGTGCAAAATGCTGAGCAGAATGTTATGCTGGTATGTCTATATTTAAGTAATCAATGTAATGCAGCAGATAGAGTGGCAGAGTGGGACTTGGGAGACTTGGGCTGAAATCCCTGTTCAGCCACAGAAACTCACTGGTGTGTGGTACTGGTAAAACCACCTCTCGAATATCTCATATACCTCAGAAATCCTACTAGAGTGATCACAGGCCATAATCACCAATAAACAGCATGCAACTGTAAGCTGCCTTGGGGCCTGCTATGGCCAAATGCAGAAGGAACACATGGTCAGGACAACAAGAAGAATGCATGGAGCCGAATGGCCAGATTTATTGTACCAAGCATTTTTGTTTACCTGGATCAAAGCTAAAGGCTTCTCTCTACTACGAATAAGAGCAGCCTCTTGTTGGAGTTCTTCCTCAACAATTTCTGCAAATGTGATGGGTGTTGCTGCAGGCGGACTCCCCACAGACGCTGCTAACCAAGGACTATAAAAGGAGGCATAAATGGAAGATATTAGCACTCTGTAGAAAACAGTTTTAGATTAACACTTTAAATTACCGGTGCAACTTACTTCTGGTTTTCCAACTGTGTTGGCTCATAAGAATGTTCATTTTCTGTTCCAAAAACCGTGGCAGTTAGAGGTCTAGGGACAAAAACTATTATTATTTGTTTAATTTGTTTATGTAAAATACTATTATCCCACCTTTCTCCTTAAAAAGGACCCAAGGCGATTTACATCATTAAAGGACAATATTTAAAAGCTAAAAGCAGTAAGTGTGCAAATGTTTAAAAAGAATCAGACCACACTAAAAATAGTAACAGAATCAACACCAAAAACACATTCATTAAAAGCAGACACTAAGGAGCCTGAAGTATCACAACAAAAATGAAGCCAAAGAGGAAACAGTATGTATGAAACTTGAATGTTTAGCAGGTCCTGAAATGTCTAGAGCCAGTATTTTATGCTAATTGTATCACCAGCATATGCAGCCTTTGTAGTTTTGAAATAACCAGTGGTGCCCCGCATTACGACGACACCGCAGGACGATGCCTTTTTGCGATCGCTACAGTGATTCGCAAAGCAGGCATTTCAATAGGGGAATTCCACTTGACGACTTGGTCCGTGCTTTGCGGACCATTTAATCGCAAAACAACAATCTTTACAGCTGATCGTCAGCTTCACAAAATGGTCTCCCGCTGTTTTCCGGACCACTGCTTTGGAAGACAGTGATTAAAAACAGCTGATTGGTGCTTGCAAAATGGCTGCCCTATGGAGGATATTTGCTGGACGACGAAGTAATTTACCCACTGGAACACATTAACCATCTTTCAATGCATTCCAATGTGGAAACTGTTTTCACATGATGACGATTTTGCTGTACAGTGATTTTAATGGAACGGATTATCAATGTCATGCGAGTCACCACTGTACTTGTAAAGCATACAGGTCAACAGAATACTGCTTCAAGGAGAAAAAAAAATTAACTGCATTTTATCTTAATTTTATTTATTCTAAAGACATATCTTATTTTTCCCATATTCTTAAAATACAGGTTGAGAACAATGGGAGCAGCAGTGGAAGTCATTCCTCCTTATTTGTGGCTGTGACAGAGCAGACCATGAGAGATTTCTTTAAAAAACAACACCTAGAGTAGCGTGTACCTGGAGATAGAGAATTCACTAACAAGTAAACTGCTATGCAAACCAAAGGAGCATCACTTTACACATGTTACTTGAATGCATTCCCTAAACCACTTCTTCAATACGTTGTGAAAATATTATTTGTGTATGTTCTTATTTATTTATTTACTGAATTTATACCCCACCCATCTAGTCAACTGACTACTCTGGGCGGCTAACAGCACATAATATAAACAATTTAAAATATAAGATTCTTGTTGCATACATGGCTCAGCTGTCCACCTACAGAATTGTTGGAGGGACTAAGTAGAGGAGTTTGGAACGCACTAGCCAAGGCAATCCCCTATCCTGTAATATCCCCCACTTTAAGAAAAGCTCCCACTGCAGGAGCCCAGGGTGCAACTATTCCATGTATTTAGGTCCCAGTGAGCTGTTTTACACTCAGCAAGGCTTCATACAAGGACAGAGGGTTGTTGTTTTTACCACTTGTTTTTTTTAAACAAAGGTTTATCCTAGCCTAAAACAACCTAATTTGTTCGCAAAGGAGCATCACTTTACACATGTTACTTCATACAATGGCAGAGGGTTGTTGTTGTTTTTACCACTTCTGGTTTTTTTAAACAAAGGTTTATCCTGGCCTAAAACAACCTAATTTGCTCACCATATGCCATAAAAAGTGAAAAAGGATTTTTCTGTGCATTGGGGGATATAGGGATAGATCTAGCCCGTTGAGGTCAGGATCACCTGGGTCTCTCACCCGTTTAAAACCCATACAAATGTGTTTTCCAACAGAACATCTGCTAAAATAAAATGCTATACATTTAGATATGTGTATAGCATTTTATACTTGCAGATGCTTTCAGGGCTCATCAGAAATTTCTCAGTTAAAACTCAACATAAAATGAAAGCTCTCTCACCTCAGAGATTTCTGACCTGGAGCATCCTCCACCACTTTAGTACAAACTTTTCCAGAACTGGCACCACCTGTCTTCTTCTCCTCCACTAGGAGATCACGGAATGATTTTGGCAAAGTAGAATGCAACGGAGAGGCCCTTTAACAGAAGGAGCAGCAAAGTCATGTCTTGGGTCACTCCCCCATTACCATTAAACCTGGAAGCTCCAAGCGATCCTGAAATGAAGTTTTCTCCAATAGGGGCATGTGTCACATTGTCTACCATCTGAAAACAAAATGAAGAATTTAGGGAGTCTTGATTCAGAATATCAGAAAAAAATTAAAATAACAGGCCTTTAGACAGATAGGTAGGTAGGTAGTTTTATTGTGCGGTCATAGACCCGTTCATACAAAGATAAAATAGATAAAATATATAACATAATATAAAATCTTGCTACAGCGTACAGAGAGAGAGAGAGAGAGAGAAATGGACTTGAGGAATCAGTGGTATAATTTAATATAAGATGTATTAAATATATTAAAGATATATTTATATAAAATCATTGGATGTTCACAACTGTCACATACGTATGCTGTTATAAAGACAGAGATTAAAACCTTTTATTAAGAAAAAAACTACCCTGAGGCATGCAAAGGAGCTACTATTGGCAATGACTTTCCGGCTCAGAAAACTCTCTTCCTTTTTGAGAGCCATGCCAATGTTTGTTTGTTTGTTTATTTAGATGGCTGGAAGAGATAAACAGGGCTTATTTTACAAGTGCACCATTTGAGCAATTTTATGTACAAGCAGATTACAGCTTCCCTACTGTATCTATAGATTCTTGAATGCTACTGTAAACACCTTTGCAACACAGGCTGGTTTAACCATATGAAGGTGTCACAAAAGGCGACAAGAGCTGCAGGAGAAAAGCCTCAGGCAAGCCATCTTAGAGAAAAAATGTTTCCCCACTTCTCTTGTAAAGTGTTTCTTTTAAGCTGCAGAAAGTTCTTATTCTCCCTTTCAAGGAAAAATCTGCATTTTCAGATTTTTCTAGTAATTGTGATACCTTGGACAGCAGGTGTACAACATTCAGCATTTTAGATGTCAAAACCCCCTTATCCATGTTAAATGTCTCAACATCAATACCAAGTGTCAACATGGAACAACACAGGTCATACACTAAGGCTTAAAGGAGAGGAAGAGCTTAAGCACTACATGTGCATTAAATACCGTATTTTTCCGTGCATAAGACTATATTTTTGTCTAAAATCTTTCCACTAAAAATTAAGGGTAGTCTTATACACAGAAGTAAGCTGAGGAGAGAACAAAAACAAGTAGAGAAGAAAGCAGGGATCAAAGTGATCCTGCAGCGCTTTGACCCCTTTTCCCCTGCACTTGCTAAGCCCCACTTAGATTTCTTAATTTTGGATTATACATGGGGGCATTTTATAAACAGAAAAATACGGCACTATTCATGAAAATTGGAATCTCTTAACTAAATTTGGCACAGAGAAAAGTATCCTGTTTTCCCCAAAATAAGACCTAACCTAAAAATAAGCCCTAGTTAAGTGAAACCTTGCCCTCCACCATTGTGCAGCAACCAGAAGATGATGACAGGACTGTATCTGAATCAATGTAGATTGGCATTGCATTGGCTGCCCATCCGATTCTGCATCAACTTCAAAGTGTTGATGCTTACCTATAAAGCCCTAAACGGCTTAGGGCCTCGATACTTGGCGGAACGTCTACTCCCACCAAGATCTACTCGTGTCACTCGTGTGAGCCAGGAGGTGAGGCTGAGGAGCCTAACGCCGAGGGAGGCCCGGAAGGAAAAGACAAGAAATTGGGCCTTCTCGGCGGTGGCTCCTCGCCTCTGGAACAACTTACCTCCTGAGATTCGCGGGGCTCCCTCGCTGGGTACCTTTAAGAAGCAATTAAAAACTTGGATGTTTTGGCAGGCCTTCCCATCACATAACTCATGACCTCTTTCTTTCCTCTCTTACTGTTCTATGTTTTGTGTTTTTGCATTGTAATGTAGTGTTTTTATGATTTAGAACTGTTTATTTACATTTTTACTGTATAATTTTTAAGATTGTTAGCCGCCTAGAGTGGTCCTCGCTTGACCAGATAGGCGGGATATAAAATAAATAAATAAATAAATAAATACAAGGAAAAAAATCCCCTGAAAATAAGCCCTAATGCATTTTACGAGCAAAAATTAATGTAAGACCCTGTCTTGTTTTGGGGGGTACACGGTAATAACAAATTCAATCCTGTCAAAAGGAGAGAGAAGTAGCAAAGGAAGGCAGCACCTCCCAGCAGATATAGTACTATATTCCTTGCTCCCCGAAACACTATGGCATATTGAGTGCTCCGTGAAAATATATAAAAAACATAATGGGGGAGGGGTTGCTTTGCCTTCATTACCCATACGTTTAATATTTCAGTACTGATTTTATTTTTCTTAATTCATCTTCAAAGACTACTACATAGTCTTAATTTCTCCCAAACCGTGAAATCTGGTTTCATTGGCATGAATAATGCAACTGTGGTTTAAGATATATCGAGTCTCTCTGTCAACCAAAAAAGAGTTCCAGAAGGTCCCACACCCTCTGGCATCTCATCTTGCCAGGAGAGCTGCTGAATTTCCATGCCAAGTATCTTGTTTCACTGCAAAACAAAAGTTCTGGAGACTGCCACAAACTGCCAGCGCAGACAGAAACCTGCATCTGATGCCAAACACAGGCATAAGAGTTTCTGTTTAAAAAGTAAGTTATACCCTAATGCTACACACTTAAGTTTCTTAGTGTTAACTAGTTAAGTCAACCATGCTTAATGAAAACTGTAATTGGAAAGTGCCACCAAGCCAGAAAAAGTAAAATATTTGTTTCATATGGGGACTTAAAATACTAAAACAAATTCCATCATACATGAAGCCAGTTGCATGTGTTCTTAACAATTACAGATTTCACATGGAAATGCCTACTTAAAACCTGCTATTTTCCATTTCTGCATTCAAAAGAAATTTGTGAAGGACGTTCCAGCTGTTCATACCCACATAAAAATTGTACAAACAAGTATTCAATTGTTAAAGCAACATAAGCCTATTCCAATATTCTGTAGTGTAGAGGATAAACTGGGTGAATGGGCATTAAAACGGCAGGTGCCATACAATGTGAGCAGGTATGAAGAGTTATATACTGGGGCAAAAACACTCTGACCATACATATGCTAATAGAGACTGATGGACCTGAAGACAATTGACGGATGGCAATTGTTCCAAGATGTGCTAGAGAAGGTGCCAGAAAATAGGCACTTATTTTCCTCTGTGAGCATATATATAAATGTGTGTTTGCAGATATATGGGGAGAATTTATTGGTTTTGTATTGATAAAAGGGAAGGGACAACGTGATTCTATATAATTTTGGAAGGAGAAAGAAGAGGTGGAAAAATAGACAAAGGGAATCTGGAATCACTAAGATGAAACACTGAAAAGTTTGGGAAGCAAGGGAAGACATGATAGACAGGAATACAAGTAAAAATTAAGGGGACAGTTTCTTCCTCTCTCACAATATTATAATCCACAAGCAATCCCTAAATCTGAGCGGGGAATAGAAGCAGAAGGAGGTATTGCACTCATGTCCTGTCTGTGAGCTGTCTATAGGCATCTGGCTGGGTACTGCAGGAACAGAACCACTAAAAGCAGCAGGATTCTTCTCATGCCTTTAAGCCAAACTGTGGGATTTCTACCAGGCTGAAATCTCTGCTGATCTATGAAATTCAGTAATGTCCTGGGGACAATCACCATCTCTCAGCCTCACTTACTTCGAAGACTAGGATAAGATATAATCATACTAGGAGGAGGGAGGCAATGAAAATAGGTCTCTAGTCTCTCCTCCAATCCACAGGTTGCTTTAGATTAGCCTTTTCCAACCTGATACCTGTTTTCAACTACAATTCCCACCAGTCACAGGCAGCATAAGCAGTGGTTAGGTGACGGAGTTTGTAATCCGGTGCATAGAAGTCATCACACTGGGCAAGGCTGCTTTAGATTAGGAAGAATAATACCATATACAAAACTCCGGGTCCAATCCAGGGCATCACTACTGAAAAGGATCTCCAGAAGTAGGTGTGGAAAGGACCCTTGAACAGCCAGAGTGGGCAGGAGTATTTTAAACGGACCACTGGTCTAGCTCAATATAAGGCAGGTTGCCACAGATTACTAGGTGTTCAATGAGACTGTAAGATTTAAGTCATAAATGTGCTAAGTTGCTAGACTGAAAAAAGGGGGGCTCATTTTTAAAACCTGAAATGGGTCACAGGATGCATTAACACAAGAACAAAGCCTACCATCCATTCAGCATAGCGACAACAAAACATACCACACATTCCCTGCTTTGGGAGTTTTAGGGGATGCAGGTGGCACAACAGCATCCGGCACAATCTCTGGGTTGCTCTCCTTCGCAGCCAGCGCTATCAGTTTCCTTTGCTTCTGGGAAAGCTTGCTCGCATGAGGACTTGGCCTACTACAAAAGGAAAAAAGAAAAAAAGAAAGCTGTATTTCGTAGGTCAAAGTTCTGTGGATTCCGATGGCAAAATGGGACTCCAGAAGAACTGAAGTGTTTGTGGCTGAAATCTGGGGATAGTATTCAACTGTGCAATTTTCTTTGCACAGAAAAATATGGTAACTTTTTTATCACTTGGGTTTTTTTGGCTCCAGTGTACATGACACACTTGAACAAAAGAATGCCCTATAAACTTTTCGGCTGACATTAATGCAGCAAAGCAGAAGTGACACTGCCTCTGGTTATCACTAAACTGGCCCAGTTGCAAGATAGCAAAATTTCTTTTGTGGGTTCTGGAGTCTGCTGGGGCCAGGAGATGCTCTGAAAAACTTTAAAGTGTACCTTTAAGATTTCTGGAGCATCTCCTGGCCCCAGCACTTTCTGCCTCTGGATGCTGTGGTAGAAGACTATGTTCTACACAAACAATTTTTTATATGAGGGATGCTGTGGTAGGAAGACTATGTTCTACACAAACAATTTTTTTATATGAGATTTTTTTATGTTAATGGGGCCAGAAAATAACATATCTACAACTGAGATAATGCCAGTTGTTCTTTCTTCATCTTACTGTATGATAGTTACAGCTATTATTTACATTAACACAATTCCATCTTATAATTTATTTTAAAATCCTTGGGTTTTTTTTTTTACCAACCTTGAATTGATCTTTGGCACACTTCCACATTTTTGCATGTTTTCTTCAATTTCCATAATAGTTCTTAAATCCATGGCTGGAGGACTGGCAGGACTGAATGGAAAAAAAGTCCTTATATCTCAAGGAACCCATTTTTACTTATATTCCAGTTGCCAAACACCACTGAAACCTCCTAAGTCTTGTATATCTTTTGTAACTGGATGTATAATTTATGTCTACTTCCTCAATTATGGCAAACCACCAATAGAATGTTTTCAAACAAACATTTATATCCTCTCTTTTTTTTCAGGAAACATACACACCAAGGGTACTTATATGTCTAAGGACAATGCTAAAAAAATACTTTAAACCCAGCATTTTACTTGATGTGAAGTTTTTTTAAAAAACTACTGTGCATCAAAGCCTTAAAGATAGCAGGTTTAAGCTGAAACCAATTACAGATGTAACAGCTTCCATTAAAAAAGAGAATTAGCACTCTTAGTATAGTCATAATCATTAGAGTAATGTTTACAGGAATCATAAAATCACCTGATCATCTGGTTCTTCAGAAAGTATGTTAACAACTAAAAATATATATACATCGGCTGAAAGTATAAAGTGGTGGTGATTTTCCGTAATTAAAGACTTCCTTCTGCAGTCCTGGGGTCCTCATGGGTTCCCAACAATGGAAGGCATTACATGTGAGCCACAGAAGTAGGAAATGTTGGGTTCCCAAAGAATTGTCCAGCTAGTGATGGCATTGGCCTTATGTAGTGTAACTTACATGAACAGGATTTCAGCCAGTGCCTTTCAGTTTGGAGGGAAGTCCACAATCCAAAAGTTTGTCGCACTGAAGGCATGCCACATGAACAGCTGATAGACACAAGAAATGTGGAAAGAAGCACAAAAAAATACCTGAAAGAGCTGACAACCCAGTTGGAAGAGCTTGCAGAGGTGTTTTTGTTATTAGGAATGCACCGTGGGAGAGATATTTTTTGCACTGATGGTCCATCACATATTCTGCCCTCTTTATTGGTATGTAGAGTGACAGTACTGGAAATGCATGTCTTCTCTTTCACCTGAAATAAAATCAGATTAAAATTACAAGAGTAGAACTGCATTTATAGGCACGTTCAAGGAGAACAATAACAATCAAATAGTGATTGGCCAAAATCTTACCGCTATTTTATGTTGGTATAATATAAATAGTGTAGCTTTTGGCAGTGAGTTGCTGAAAGTTAAAGACAGCACAGACATAATTTGTTGCATGACAACTTGCATATTTTGCCACACAAACCATAGTATACAGTGGTGCCTTGACTTATGAATGTCCCTACTTACGACCATTTCGAGATATGACCAGCTCCAGCTGCAAAATTTTGCTTCTACTTGCAACCAGAGCTTTGAGTTATGAACAGAAAAAGGCAGGGGAAAAAGGCGGGAAATTCAAAATGCTAACTGTAGGTGGCGATGAGGCTGCTTCTTTGTAGCTGTTTCACCCCAGCAGTTAAGAGAGTGTGCAATTGGAGGAGCTTGCCTGGTAAGGTGAGGTGCCCAGCAGTTAGAGTGTGCGCAATTGGAGGAGCTTGCCTGGTAAGGTAAGGTGCCGTTTTCTGCTTTTTAAAAACTTTTCTGGGTGTTTTTGTAGCGTGAATTTGGGCTGGGGGGTTATGTTTCTGTGCTTTGATATGTCCTGGGGGTTTCTTGGTTTTTTTGTCCCCCCTCCCCCATTTCTGATGGGTCTTGGGGGGGTTGTTTGTTTTTTGGAGTTTTTTTCCCCAGTTCCAATGGGTCTTAGGGGTTTGTTTGTTGGTGCTTTGCTTTTTCCCCATTTCCATCTGTCTTGCATGCTCTGCTTGGTTTTCCCCCCCCCCCCCTTCAGCTGGAAGGAATTAATCACATTTCCGATGGGTCTTGCAGTGATTTTTTTGGTGTTTTTTTCCCCTTTGGACAGAACAGATTAATTACATTTCAATGGGAAATGGTGCTTCGACTTACGACCATTTCGACTTATGCCCATCTTCCGGAACAGATTAAGCTTGTACGTCGAGGCACCACTTTATACAACAACTTTCTGACTTACAACACTTTAGCTCCAAATGTTATAACATCCGAGTTATGCTCATGAGTACAACTGAGGATTTTGGTCACTGAATCAGCTCTAGTAGAACTGCTATAGGCATATCTAAGCTTTTGGATACATCCAGATGGAATCCTTACCTCCTTCCAGTAAGTATTCCTTATAACACAGAACCTTGCTTTAAAGACCCTCCGGTTTTAGAAATGGAGACAGCACTTGGAGGTTAAACTGATTAAACCCCAATTGATTTGCACAGTGCTCTGGACTGTGTCATGAGTTTAAGGGCTCCTTACGTAAGCACAAGGAGAATACATATGTGCACAGTTTTCTGCTTGCAAGTTTAAAAAAATAACAGTAGCATTTATCAGTGCTATATTCTTTCAAGTAACACACCTGTAACTCCTTCAGGCATTCTTAGGTGTTCTAGTGTAACAAGTAACACAAGCAACAGCTCCTATTTCAACTTCCAAAACCTCATGTCTTCTACAACTCACCAGCCTTGACCATGAACTGCAGGCCAGCTTGTCTAAATGGCACAACTTTGGAAAAGGCGATCATGACTCATTTATATTTATACTACCCTAAGTAGAGAATACATTTTCATGTAGCATAATGCTTTGACAGTAAGAATGCAGCAGACCATAGCAGAGAGGCAACATCTGTGGAAGTCACAGATCAACTCTACAGATTAAATGCATGTTATTCCACCACCTCGACTAGCACCTTACAGAAGAGACAGAGCATTTTTATAAGTCCATCAGAAACAAATCAGTGTGGTCCATCTACCTTTAAATACATCAGAAGTAATTAGCAAGTCAAGTTCAAAAGATGAATCAACAGGCTCTAACCTCAAACCTATCTGCTTGGAATCCTGCTGTGAAATCTGGAGACTGCAGATCTCTGGGACTGTTCACTCCTACATAGCTACCTTCAGAATCAGACATCAGCATTTCAGGGAGGGATTCAACGGAACTAGATTTGTCCAGTTTCAGTATTCCTGCATGCATCAGAGAAACAAAGTGTGGTTAAAAAAACAAAAGCTTCCTGCAAAAATCAAGGGGTTGCTGACCTATTGCCCACCTGTTTGAATTCAATAATAGTCCTCATCTGATCCTTGCCCCCAGAAGCCCCCTCAGTAATCTATTTAAGGAGTGCTTCCTTCATTACCATCTGGTTTCCCTAACACTCAGAATGTTTCTTCTAGCTGCAACTGAGCTACGGATCCTATTGAGTTGTAAACTAAGGAGTACAGCAATCAGATTAACTGGAAGGAATGGATATTAAAAGTTCTTCACTTAATCCCAGTTTGTTTCCAAGTATAACTTAAAGTACTGGTTTGAACCCATAAAGCTGTACAATGGCTTGAAAGTAAGGTACAGTAGGCCCTAGAGTTATGAACGGCCCTAGTTACGAACATTTCGGGTTATGAACCCGATCTCATAGCAAGTAGTACACTCGAACATTTCGGGTTACGAACCTGATCTCACAGCAAGTAGTACACTCTACTTGCGAACGCAGATCAGGTTACAAACCCAAAAGGTAGGGAGAAAGGGCGGGAAATTCGAATTTCCTGCCCTTCCTCCCTGCCTTTGGAGCTTTCAAAAGGCTTCCTCTGACACTGGAGGAAGCCTTGTGAAACATCTGAAGCCAAAAAGGCAGGGAGAAAGTGTAGGAAGTTCAAACTTCCCGCACTTTCTCCCTACCTTTTTGGCTTCGGAAGCAAGCCGGCCGGCCAGGGAGAAATCACCTCCCTCCTTTCACCCGATGCTGTGTTTCGCCTCCCTCCTTTCACCCGATGCTGAGTTATCTTTGTGATTGGCTGAGCTCAGCCGGCACGAAGGGGACTCACCGTTGGGTGGAAGGAGGGAGCTGATTTCTCCCCAGCAGCCTGGCTTGCTTCCGAAGCCAAAAAGGTAGGGAGAAAGTGCGGGAAGTTTGAACTTCCTACACTTTCTCCCTGCCTTTTTGGCTTCAAACAGCTCTGAAGGCTTCCTCCAATGTCGGAGGAAGCCTTTTGAAAGCTCCAAAGGCAGGGAGGAAGGGCAGGAAATTTGAATTTCCC